CGCGCCAGGCTGGGAGGGGCGGCTGGGGCTGGGCCAGGCACAGCCTGCCCTCGCTCCTGGAGGTCTCACGGTGGTGGTGGTTGCCGCAGTGGTGACGCAGCCCCCTACACCAAGCTTTGCTGCAAGGGATTCTGTATCGACATCCTCAAGAAGCTGGCCAAGGTGGTCAGGTTCTCCTACGACCTGTACCTGGTGACCAATGGCAAGCATGGCAAGAGGGTGCGAGGCGTGTGGAACGGCATGATTGGGGAGGTAGGCCCCCCTGGCCCACCCCTGGCCCACTGTGCCTGCCCGCCCGCTGCCCGGGCTCCACGGATCTCTCAGGTGGCCCCGAGAGCGGGGGACTGGGCTGTCACCACCGATGGCCCCTGGGGTCCCCAAGTGGGAGCAACTGACTTAGCTGGGGGGTGCCTGGAGAGAGTGTTCGGCCCTCGGGAGCTCCGTCTTCACCCCCCCGTGCCTCCACGGCCTCCAGGTGTACTACAAACGGGCAGACATGGCCATCGGTTCCCTCACCATCAACGAAGAGCGCTCCGAGATCGTGGACTTCTCCGTACCCTTCGTGGAGACGGGCATCAGCGTGATGGTGGCCCGCAGCAATGGCACGGTCTCCCCCTCGGCCTTCCTGGGTGAGGCTCGGGTGGGAGGGGCCGGCTCCGAGGCAGAGGGTCAGACAAGGAGGGAGGGCGGAGCCCGGCCGGGATGGAGTTGGGGTGGGCCCTCAGAGGGGGAGCACAGCAGCTTTGGGTGTCTCTGAGGGTGGCTGGAGGCAAGGGGAATGGAGAGGGTGGTCATGAAGTTGGCACTGGGATCTAGACCTGGGGTGTTGGCTGAGGGTGGGGCTGGGGAGAGGAAGCAGGATACGTCATGGTGCCGTTGTGAGGGACCCGGAAACCAGGAAGGCAGGCTGGCCTCAGGACGTGCCAAGGGTCAGGACAGGGGAACGAGGTGGGAAGCCCCGTGTGGAGTGGAGGAGCTGGCCACGGCGTGGGGAGAGGTGCTGGTTTCTCCCTGGATTAGGAGTTCAGCATTTGTTGGGCAGCCCCTGGTGCCAGGCCCCGCATTAGGGGCTGGGGACACATCCTCAGTCCTTGCATTCCCAGAGTGCACAGTGCACGGGGTCAGGTGGCGCAGAGAGCTGTGAAGACAGGCGAGGGCCAAGGAGGAGCCGAGGCTGGCCAGACAGGGAGAATCCCAGCTCTGCTCTTCCCACTGTGCAGCCTTGGGAAAGTCACCTAACCTCTCTGAGTCCCTCAGCCATGAGGAAGAGAACAAACCCCTACTTTTTCATAGGCTGGTCATCACAGCAAAGGAACAAGAGCTCATGACTGTATTGATTTGTTTATTTTTATTTTTTTGAGTTGGAGTCTCCCTCTGTCGTCCAGGCTGGCGTGCAGTGGCCGCTCGCTCCCGGCCACCACAGCCTCGACCTGCTGGGCTCAGGAAATCTTTCCGCCTCAGCCTTCCAAGTAGCTGGAACTACAGATGCACGCCACCACACCTGGCTAGTTTTTATGATTTATTGTAAAGATGAGGTCTCACCAAGTTGCCCAGGCTGGCCTCGAACCCCTGGGCTCAGGCAGTCCTCTCGCCTCGGCCTCCCAAAGTGCTGGGATTACAGGCTGAGCCACCGAGCCTGGCCTGTATTGATTTCTTACAGTGAGGCTGAAACGGTTTTGTCCAAGGTGTCAGGTCGTTGTCGCCAGTTCTCTGGGCTTCAGTTTCCAGGTCTTGTAGGGTGAGGCTAAGACTTTACCTCAGAGGCTCTCTGATGCTAGGCAGAATGACCAGACAGGGGATGTTAAGTCCAAGGAAAACTTCCCAGGGTGGGTGACGTGTCTCTGTCCCAGGGCAGATGGGAGGGAGGAGACCAAGGAAGCTGGATAGCCTGACCCCTCTTGGGGGGGGGTCTCTCCTGGGACTCTGCTGCTCTGAGAGGCAGAGGCCCCTCAGCTTGGCATGCAGAGCTGGTGGGCCCCTGCCTTGACCCCCTGGACTCACCCATCTCCACCCAGTGCTTCTGGGCCGTGGGCTGGGAAGCCATGCTGAGGCCTCTGAGCCACCGCTCTCTGCCCCCAGAGCCCTACAGCCCCGCGGTGTGGGTGATGATGTTTGTCATGTGTCTCACCGTGGTGGCCATCACCGTCTTCATGTTCGAGTACTTCAGCCCCGTCAGCTACAACCAGAACCTCACCAGAGGCAAGAGTAAGCACTCTCTAGGGCCTGGGAGGAGGGGAAGGCCTGGGCATCCTGGTAGGGCTGGGTCTAGGCCAAGGGGTCCTCCAGAAGATGCCCGTGGGAGGTCCTTGGCCTTCAGACAACACACTCTGGGGGCCTGTCCGATGAGCCAGCCAGACAGACAGACACACTAGTGAGCTGACTCGACCTAGGGAGGGGACAGCCGGGGCTGGTCCCCCCGGACGGGGGCTGAGACCTGAGCCCTTGTATGGCAGGCAAGAGAAGCCCCAGCATTTGCCCTCTCCTTCCCAGAGCCCGGGGGCCCCTCCTTCACCATCGGCAAGTCCGTGTGGCTGCTGTGGGCGCTGGTCTTCAACAACTCGGTGCCCATCGAGAACCCCCGGGGCACCACCAGCAAGATCATGGTCCTGGTCTGGGCCTTCTTTGCCGTTATCTTCCTCGCCAGCTACACGGCCAACCTGGCTGCCTTCATGATCCAGGAGCAGTACATCGACACCGTGTCGGGCCTCAGTGACAAGAAGGTTCTGGGGCCATGGCTGGTGGAGGGCAGGGGGACACTGAGGGTGGGGACAGGCCTTGGGTGGGCAGGCCCTGGAGAGTTGAAGCCCGGGGAAGTGGAACTAGAGGCTGGAGTAGGAAGAAGCTGGGGAACCTGATGAGGAGGGGGCCAGGGTTGGGGCAAGAGATGGCTCAGGGCCACCGGCTGAGTGGCCTTGGGTAAGTTTCTCCCTGTCCTGGGTCTCAGAGTCCACATTCGGATGACACACGAGTGGCCTGGACAGCCTCTAAGACCCTTCTGCTCCGACGGCCAAACCACACTGCAGGGCTGGGCTCTGGGGGTGAGCTGGAGCTTTGGTGCCGGAGGGTTGGAGGAAGGATCACGACGGGCGGCTGCTCTCTGCCTGCAGTTCCAGCGGCCTCAGGATCAGTACCCGCCCTTCCGCTTCGGCACGGTGCCCAACGGCAGCACGGAGCGGAACATCCGCAGCAACTACCGGGACATGCACACCCACATGGTCAAGTTCAACCAGCGCTCGGTGGAGGACGCGCTCACCAGCCTCAAGATGGGGTGGGTCCCCAGCCCCACCCTCTGCCTGTCTCCCTCGAGTCTCCTTAGCGACCGGCCTTAGTTCTGTCTCTTCCTGGAAAACCCAACGTGGGGACGTGGGACTGGGCTGTCCCGCAGGACTCCTGGCCAGGGGGTGAGGAGGTCTTGGGGAAGAGAGAAGCTTGAAGCAAAGGTGGAAGTCCACCCCGTGTCCCAGAATGCAACTGTGGTGTTGGCCAAAGTTCGGCCTTGGCCTGAGGTGGTGGTTGTGACCTTCTCGGGGTCTTGGGATACGGAGGGGCTGGGAAGAGAAGGCATGTGTCCTCTGGGGGCAGAAAGTCCCCCGGCCTCTCTGAGGAGGAGGTTGGGAGGGGTCCTCCTGCATTCAGGACCCAAGGGAACCCGAGATGGCCCTGCCCATTCGTCCCCCCTGGGTGGTGCCTAGCGGGCTTATGTGGCTCAGACCTTGGTCAGGCCCCACGCTTGGTGCCCCCCTCCCCGCCCCTGCATGGTCCCTGGCCTTGAGGGCTCAGCCTGTCCCCAGGAAGCTGGATGCCTTCATCTACGACGCTGCTGTCCTCAACTACATGGCGGGCAAGGACGAGGGCTGCAAGCTGGTCACCATTGGGTCTGGCAAGGTCTTTGCCACCACTGGCTACGGCATCGCCATGCAGAAGGACTCCCACTGGAAGCGGGCCATAGACCTGGCACTCCTGCAGTTTCTGGGGGATGGTGGGTGCTGCCACTGCTGGGGGTGGCATGGGTCCAGGGTGGGCCACGGAGCCCAAGGTTGTCGGCATCTCCACCACCATTCTGAGTCCCAGGGCCTGTAGGCAGGGAGAGGTCTGGGGGGCGGGGGTGGGTGAAAGGTAAGAGGTTTGGGCAGTTTGTGTGTGTGTGGGGGGGCAGATACTAAGAGCAGCTAGGTGGAGACCCGGGAAGGGATGGGTTTGCAGGAAGGGAGCAGGAACTAGGGCTGGGGAGTCCCAGAAGGGCAGGGAGACAGAAAGCTGCTCAGGCCTCACAGTGGGGGCTGGCAATGGCTGAACTCCTTTGTTTTCCCCAAGACCCCACCCGCGATCTCTCCCAGATGGGCACCTCCTTGGCCCAGTGTAGTTCCCCCCCATGTCCATCTTGAGGTTACCTGGGTAGTGCCAAGGACCTGCCTGTCCTGCATGTGTGAGTGGTCCCACCCAGCCTGCCCCAGAACCTGGAGGGAGCTTGAGAGTTTTGAGGGATCCCATCCTTGTTAGATCAAACCGGTCTGATTTCTCATACCTTATAATAATGAGAATGATCATACCAAGGGTGCTTGTGGTCTCCCAGGGGCCTAGGACTCTTGTCTCTATGTAGATGGTTAGTAAGCGTCTGATGATGAACAAGTGAATAAATGAATGAATGCTAACATTTACTCAATCAACACGCCTTCACTGGGCACTTGGGTGCCCTTTCCTGGGGCTGGACAGGTGGAGGACTCCAAGGCTGGCATTGCCCACCCCAGCCTCCTTTCTTTGTGCTCAATGACCCTCCCCCGCCCCCGGCACCTCACCATCCTGCTCTTGCTGGGCCGGACCCCTGCGGGGTCCACTTGAGGAAGAAGAGGGTGGCTTCCTGGCTCCAGACTCCCCGCTCCAGGCTTTTAGTGAGTTTTTGGGGGGTGTCCCTTGGGGGAGCTTCCTGGGCCAGATGTCCTTCCCCCTCCCCCCAGGAGAAACACAGAAACTGGAGACAGTGTGGCTCTCGGGGATCTGCCAGAACGAGAAGAACGAGGTCATGAGTAGCAAGCTGGACATCGACAACATGGCAGGCGTCTTCTACATGCTGCTGGTGGCCATGGGGCTGGCCCTGCTGGTCTTCGCCTGGGAGCACCTGGTCTACTGGAAGCTGCGGCACTCGGTGCCCCACACGTCCCAGCTGGACTTCCTGCTGGCTTTCAGCAGGGTGGGTGCCCGCCCCGCCACACGCAGGGCGCAGCTTTAGGGCCACCGGCCAGGCACGCCAGGGCTGGCCGTGGCCCGATCCCAGAGGCGAAGACAGGTCCCGCGAGGCGGCCGGGCTTGCCGCGGGCAGGGGAGA